TGAGTTTAGGGCTGTTGCTGCGCCCTTGTTCCCTTCCATCATCATCTTTGACTTTTGTTTCTTTTGCTCAAATCTCGGTGATTCGGGCAATCATTATCTTCTTGCCTATCTTTCCCGTTCCACTCACCTGGGTTGGTTGGATCTTCCCACTCTCCGGGTTTGCGCTTTGAAAGTCGAGCGGCTGTCACCCTTGCATTTTGTGTCACCATACCGTATACTACGCCCTTCCTTTCTTTGTTGGAGTTGGAGCGTTGAAGAGTTGTGTGCGGAGAGACTTACGTCCGAGGTTCTTTTGCGCTTGCGAATCGAGTTCCAACAAGTCGTCAACATAGCCCCCACGCTTCTTGGTACGAGTGGGCAGATTCTCCTTCTCCTTTGCTCGGACTGGCTCAGAGTCTCTCTACGCCGTTGTCTGAAGGCTGTGTGGGTTTGCACTTTGCAAGTTGATAGCGGAGGTTCAGGACCCAACGTCGCACACCAGAAGCAAACGAGTAGAACAAAGTACGATCATATAATACGAACTTTACGCTGAGAGTTAGGGATAGGGGTAGAGGCAGAACGTCGTCACCATGAGCTTTAATCTGCCCATACTCCCGCCGACCTCTCCAACACGTCAGAGAAACAGAGATAGTAGGAATTACTTTACAAACAGCTATAGTTCCCCGGCTTCAACCGAGGCTATCAATGGCCCGGTGAGGCAGCGGACAAAGGAGTTGGCTCCCATCAGTGATCGGCTGATTGTTGGCGTTGACTTTGGCACTACTTTCTCTGGGTACGTCCATTGTTTTTTTGTTTCTTACTCATCGCTTAACCGGACTTTGCCAGCGGGCAGCTGCAGAAACCGTTACGCAGCAACATCTGTGTGACTTGGGGGCGGTCCCAACAAAATGTTGACCAAGGATATAGCTTTCGTTGCCTGCGTCCCATTTTCCCTCTTTGCCTAAGCTCCGAGAGACCAAAACCAAACCAAACTAACACCTAGTCCATTAGTGTTGCCGCCGTATATACAGGAACGCCAGATGATGTAGAGATTATCAAGACCTGGCCGGGCGGGAACGGCATCACGTCCGACAAGGTCCCTACCGAGCTTTCCTATGCGGCTGTCCCGCCCAATGCGCCGCCAGGCACCGCGCCAACCGTGAAATGGGGCTTCCAGTTCCGACCGGAAGAGTCGCGGATACGCTGTGTCAAGCTCTTCCTCGACCGGTCCCAGAAGCTGCCCTTCTACGTGAACCCCAAGGAGACAGCCACGCAGCTGAAGAACAACAGGAAGACGGTGGTTGACGCCGTGAGCGACTACCTTACGCAGATCTACAAGCACACCATGGACACACTAACGCGGCGTTATGGCGAGTCGTTCATGGCGTCGACAAAAGTCGACTTTGTTCTGACGTGCCCGGCTGTGTGGTCGGATGCGGCCAAGAACGCGACCCTCCAAGCGGCGGAGAGGGCCGGGATGGGCGCCCAGTCGCAGATCCAGATGATTAGTGAGCCGGAGGCGGCGGCAGTGTATACTTTGAAAGCTATACAGCCTAATCATCTGAAGATTGGAGATAACTTTATTGTCTGTGATGGCGGTGGTGGTACTGTTGAGTGGGTTACTCCTGAGCTTGACTTTAAATGGATGGAGGATACTGACCAGCCTCTAGTTTGATCGCATACAAGATCGTTTCACTAGGGCCGATCAGAGTCGAGGAGTCTGCTGTCGGCACAGGTGGGCTTTGCGGAAGTGCTTTCCTCAACTACAGGTTTGAGGAGCACGTCAAGAACCGGTTGGGGGCTAGTCGGTTCGAGGAGGTGAAGACCAAGAAGGGCAAGTCGTGGCAGATGGCGCTCAAGTACTTTGAGGAGTTCGTTAAGCGCAACTTTAACGAAGATGAGCATCAGGAGATCAATGTCCCGTAAGTTTCCCCGACAGATTTAGTCCGCCCTGGAGTGAGAAGTCCGATATTGACAAGACTGACCCACAGATTCCCCGGTCTCCCCGACGACGAAGAAATCGGTCTCGACTGTGGTTTCCTCATGATGACCGCGGCCCAAGTCAAAGACATCTTCGACCCCGTCGTCAAGGAGGTCTGTGACCTCGTCCAGGGGCAAGTCGACAATCTGCGCGCCAAGGGCCAGACCGTCTCGGGCATCATTCTGGTTGGCGGCTTTGGCCAGAGCGACTACCTCTACCGCACGCTCAAGAAGCACTTTACCAGCACGGCGGCCCCTCCGCCCTACACGCCAACGCCCACACAGCAAAGCACGCTGGCCGCGGCTTTGGGTAGTAACTCGATCGAGGTGATGCAGCCCGTGTATGCCTGGACAGCCGTGGTGCGCGGCGCGGTCCTGCGCGGGCTAGAGGGTAACATGGTCATCTCACGCAAGGCGCGGATGCACTACGGGACGTCGTACGCGACGGTGTATGATGAGGAGAAACACAGCGTTACGGAGCGGTATTGGAGTCCGTTGTGGGAGAGGTGGATGGTTAGTGATCGGATGCAGTGGCATATTGCCAAGGTGCGTTTTGTCTCCTTTAACTATTTCAGTTTTTCTTTCCCTAACGACTACTGACCATAACAAACAAAAATTCAGGGCGAAACCATATCCCCCCAAAACCCCATAGCCTTCCACTATACGCGCAACTTCCGGCCCGGCCAGTCGCTCGTGGTGACTGACGACCTAATCGCGTGCGAGGCAGACGAGCCGCCCAAGTCGTACACGCGCGACTTGATCAAGGTGTGCACGCTGACGACGGACTTGTCTGCTGTCCCGAGGAGCCTGTTTACTAGACTCACGACGACAAAAGGGGTGGAGTTTGATAACCTTGACTTTACGCTCGAGATGATTGTTGATAGTGCGGGCTTGGGGTTTGAACTCAAGGTTGATGGGGTTAGGTATGGGAGGGTTGATGCCGAGTTTTATTAGGTGGGATGGAGATGATTGTTTGAGTGGAGGCCATGGCGGATGGATGACTGGTCAGTCGCTTTCTGGTATGGAAAGAAAGGAGGTCAGACAAAGGGAGTGTTTGCGGAGGAGAAGAACTTGGGTCATGCTGGTCCTACCAGGGGACATTTCATGGATGACATATATGTGCATATCGTACATACTGGCAACAATGTTTGACGGATGAGAGAGTGAATGCCTTCGTAGAAGGTCCCCATCAACAGCCTTCATCTCAACGATAAGTGCATTGCTACTGGTTCTCTAATCATTCCTTCTGCTGCTGTTGCTGTTCCTGCGCCTCCTTAATCAACAACTCCCGCGCGTTCCTCTCCCTCTGCGCCGCCGCCCACTTCTTCTTCATCGCAAAACTATTCAGCGCAATCGCCTCTTCCTCCTTTTCCTTCTCCCCATCCTTCTGCCCTCCCTCCTTCTTATCCTCGTGCCCCAGAACCAACTTCTCCAACTCCCTCATGATACTCTCCACCGCCCACTCCAACGTCTCTCCAAAGTCCCTGTCCATTTTGGTTTCACCTTCCTTCTGGTTAACCAAAACTCCCAACCTCTTGCTCACCTCCTCCGCCTTCACCTTGCCCCCCTCCACATCCCCTCCCTCAAACATCCACTCATGCGCCCGCACGTACTCAGGCCAAACAATCTTCTCCACGTAGCCCGGCGGGTCTTTCCAGAATCCTTCGAGGGTTACGTACCCATCTCTTGCCTCGCGGCGCTGTAGGGCTTTGGCTTTGGACACCAGCAAAAAGAGCTTGATGTCCATTTGGGAGAGTAAAGTGGCAGGGAGGAGGGGAGGCGGGGAGTAGAGGAGGAAACCGTCTATGATGCAGATTTTGAGGGGTTGTTGTTGTTGAGAGGATAAGTGGAGAACGCGATGGCCGGGGGAAGAAGGTTGCAGCCAGTCGGCCACGCGGGCTTTGATTTTGTTGATGAAGTCCGTGGTGATGGGGCAAGGGCCGACCGAGTTGAGGTCTTCTTTGGAGTCGAGGGTGGGCTGTTTCGGACTGTTGCTTAGCGACTTTGACTTGGCAGTGGTGATGGTCTTACCAGGCCCCGTTTTTTGTTTGGGCGGCGCTTTGTTGGCTGCTGATGATGACGATGGAGGGTAATAACTACTACTAGTAGTACTACTACCGTGGGTGTGTCTCCGGGAAAGAAAGGGTCTGGTAAGATTCATGGTACTACTAACTGGTAACTCGCCCGTGGCGCGGATGTGCTCGAGGGCCGCCGTCATGTCGGGGATCGAGAGGGCTTCGGGACAGTCCCAGTTTGTGAGGCCATCTTTCATAGGAATTCTTTTCATTTGAGACACATATATCGGTGGTTAGAGACTATTTCTCGAGTGAGATGAGATTAAGAGGAGGAGAGGGAGCTTACTCGGACTCGGGCTTGTAGAAATCATCTTCGTGTAGGATAAAGGTATTGGGAAAGATATCGCGGAGAAGTCGAGCCAATGTCGTCTTGCCACTCGAGGAACATCCGCTTATTCCGATGACGACGGCTTTCTGATTTGGGTCCAACATCGTGAAAGAGTGTGGAGGTGTTGAGGTGTAGTTGAGCTCCAGTTCGACCCCGCGATGTTATGTCATGGAGAAAGAGTCTGAAGCAAATTGATTCTGAATTGAAGTATCGATAAATGAAAAAGAAGAAGAAGAAGACTACGTAGGAGTGTTATCTGAAGTGTAAGAGTCAAAGTAGTTCAGTCCGGAATTCTTGGGCGAGGTGCTCACAACTGAACCAACGTTGGGTGGTTGCCATTGGTGGTTTCCTTGAAAGGAACCAAAATGGTACGTACCTCCCCGCGTATAAGCCAGGGGTTAGACATAGTGTAAGGGATCGCCTGCCTGCCGGAACCAACCAAAGCGATAAGGCTTGTTGACACCTCCACTGCTCTCCATATCGTTCTAGGCGCCTTCTAGCACATTGACCCCCCTGTGGGATTTTCCATTCCGCTGGCTTCTTCCTGCTGTCAACAACCCATGCACGTCATCCCCCTTCTTCCAACTCGAACAGCAGGAGCAGCACTCCGAGTCCGTCTAGATTTTCCAAGACAACGAGCTTCCGTCAGTGTCACGAAGAACTATCGATTCGATTTCCTGACCGCCACAACAACAACTACCACCATCACAGACTCCAGACCGCGAGTAGTAGTTCTTCATCAAGCACCGCCGTATCAACATCACCGCCGACCCTTCACCACCAAAACAGAAATCACCACCGCCCTCACAACCGCCACAATGTCCGACATTCCAAACGCCATGCCCTCCATGGTCATCCTCTCGACCTCCATGATCTCGCTCATCACCGGCTTTGTGCTCGGCGTCTACGCCATCCGCGGCTACCTGATCCCGCCCGAGCTGAAGGAGGAGCGGCGCCGCAACTTTCAGGACCCCGTCGAGAGCGAGGAGTCCGAGGTGGACGAGGACGATTACATACTAGACCACGCGCCCAACTGGGCCAACGGACTCGAGGCCGATCAGCGCCAGGGCTTGCGCGCGCGCGGTGCTGCTGCCGCTGAGGAGAAGAAAAAGAAGAAGAAGCAGCAGGACAAGGCGGCGCCCAAGTTGGGACTGGATCCGACTGAGGAGTGCAAGTTGGTGTTGGTTGTGAGGACGGATTTGGGAATGACCAAGGGTATGTTTTTTTTTTGCTATCCCCTTTTCTAATTTTGTCCCTTACCTTCGGTTTATTGACGTGTTGCTGTGGTGGAAAATAAACAGGCAAAATCGCAGCTCAATGCTCCCACGCCACCCTCGCCTGCTACAAGCGCCTTTTCTCTGCCGCCCAGCTCGAGCCCCTGTCGCTGTCGGCCCGCCTGCTCCGTCAGTGGGAGCGCAACGGTCAAGCCAAGATCGCCGTGCAGACCAAGACCGAGGATGAGATGCTGGAGCTGATGGCCAAGGCACGCAGCTTGGGCGTCACTGCTGAGGTGATTCAGGATGCTGGCCGTACGCAGATTGCCTCTGGGTCCAGGACTGTGCTGGGCGTTGGTCCGGCGCCTAAGAGCTTGGTTGATGAGATCACTGGTCACTTGAAGTTGCTGTAAAGGGGAAAGAGATTGTAGCGGGGAGAGGATGGAGAAAGTGTGCAATGTTGACGGTAGCATGAACTTAGATAAAAAGAGAAGGACGAGAAGCACGAAAAATGGCGTAAGGGGGACGGTATAAAAGCATCATTGGGCTTAGAGAGCGATACGGTCAGGCAAAGACTTTGATGCATGTATGGCGTAGGTTTTGATTTTTATTCTTGAATAGATCACACCAAACAAAAGATGAGTATACATATACACATACGCACTTAAAGTGAACAAATTGATCATCAGCACAGCATCCGGTCGACTGACCGTCTTTGGTTTCATTAAGTGACTGATTCTGGGTATCATCATGTACTCTGTTCTTCCACCCCTCCCACCAATTTTCATGTTCTACTCTTTCCTCGCAAACCTGGCCAGCGTAGGCCCCAGCTCGGCCACCTTCTCCTTGTGCCTCTCCCCGTTCTTCTCCTGCATCTGCTTGTACATCTCCTCGGCCTTGAGCCTCTTCTCGTCGATAATGTTCTTCTTCTTCTGCTTCCGCAGGTACTTCTTGAGCGCGCTGTTCTTGCCTCTGGCCCGGTTGCGCATCTCCTCCTCCAGATCCGGCGGCCCGGCATCCAGATCCTTGTCCGCCTCCCGCTGCTTCGCGGACCGCAAATCGAGGTTGCCAATAAAGTTGGGGTCGAGCGCAATCATCTCGGGCGCGAGCTTGTTGAGCAGCTGCTTGACCTCGCCCTCCTGTCTCTGCTTCTTGGTCTCGTACGGGTTGACTTCCAGGGCGTCGAAGTTGGCCTCACCGGCGCCGGGGATGATGAGGGACGAGAACCCTTCGCTGTGGCCGACACCGAGAACATCGTCAAAGGGGCACCATCGCACCCGCTCGACGCGCTTGCCCTCGCCGCCCCACGTCATGTAGGGAGACTGGACCTTTTCTTGTACCGGCTTCTCCTTCGAGAAGAGACCCTTCCAGACCGTTGTCCTGGTGCCCCAGCCGACAGCGGTAAGGCCGGTATCTGAGATGGCGACGGACGAAGCGGGCGCCCGGGTAAAGTAGTTGTTGACCTCTTTGAACATGCGGATATCCCAAACGGCCATCTTGCAGTCCTGTCCTGTTGTCACCATGTAGCGGCCTTCGCGGTCGACAGCCATGGATCGTACGGGACCACGGTGGGCAAGGAGCTTGACCAGAGGTTCTGACGAGTTGGGCGACCATAGCGTTACTGTGCCGTTCTGGTGACCAACATGGAGGATGGCGTTCCAAGGATTCTGTGTCATGGAAACGGGTGTGCCCAGCTTCGTTGCGATTTCGGTGACGATCTGACCGGTCGATGTGTCCTGGTACTTGAGCTGGCCGTTTGTGCCCAGTGTGGCCAACAGGAAGTGATAGGGAAGGAATTCAAGGTGGGAGACTTCGACGTGTTTCCTTAGGCAGTGGAGCTCGACACCCTGCGAGTCGTAGATGTAGGTATACTTCTTCTGAGCGACGGCAAAGTATTGATTGTTGTGTAGCCACTTGACGTCCCTGATGGTCTCTCCTAGCTGCAATTCGCAGCCCAGCTTGCCGTCTCTCCAATCCATGGTAGCGACATGACCCTTTCGTCCTGCCAGGATAAGATCCCGGCCGTTCCTCGAGAAATCGCAAATGTAGGGTCCTAGTTGGTCGAGCTTCAGGTCGAACTTTTTCTGGGCGACCTCGATGTTGACTTCGCTTACGATGTCTTCCTGGCGAACCTTGTATGTGCGTTCCTATCGTGACCAGCGCAGTTAGTATCGCGCAAGAGGCTATAGACTTCCAATCCATAGCTACTCACAAGCTCATGTTCAGCCTCGAGGAAACCACCGGCATTCTCGAGAAGGATCTCAGCCTCCTTGGCCTTTAGCGTGGCCGTCTGGTACTTTTCTTCAAGGTTGGTAAGGTTGCGCTTGAGCTTTTTGTCCTTGACGTTTTTGACGTCGATCTTGCGACCACGGCCGTACGACTTCTCTGCTGCCTTGACTTTGCGGATCTTGTTGGCCTCGGCCTTTGATCGGAACTCGCTTCGGACGTTGTTGATGGCGACGGCGCCGCTGGGCTGCTCTGCCCTCGAGAGGGAAACTTCGGCCCTGTCTGTAGTCTCCATGGTGCCAATGGGTCGACGCGACTCAATTGGGATGGGTAGTATGAGTGGTGGACAAAGACAATTGGATCGGCGACGGGATATTGATGGGGACTGAATATGGATTGGTCTGGCGGTTTCTCGGTTTGCCCGTGTCTGTCCCTCGCTTTGGCACTTTGAATGTTTCCTCCGTTTCCTCGACAACTTTTTTGGGACCGGACCCACTAAAAAGTTGGATGGGGCAGCTGTTCCGCAGCGATCATTGGCTCCACTGAGTACAAGATTCCGATAAGATAAGTAGCGAGACGGCCGCCCATGTTCGCACAACTCAAAAAAATGCAACGAGTGCCCCGCCATTGACATTGTCCCATCACTTTATTCGATACTCGATAGACGGATTGTGACCAGAGAGGTTCTCGAAATCTCTCTTCAGTCTCAACCCCCAGCCTCTTCTCTTTAGCGCCTCCTCAGGTCAACCATCCTGGCGTCAAACTCGCTCCCCTTTCGGTTCAAAGCAGGCGGCGATTCCAGCAAAATGCCCGGCGCCGTGAGCGGCCACTCGCATCGGCCGACGACCAAGGCGTCGAACAAGCCCTTCAAGTCACGCCATTCTACCAAGGGTGCCCTCCGGAATGCTGCCAAAGGTACGGATTGCATATCAGACCGTGCCTCATGCCGAGGTTATTGCCTTGAACTATACTCTACTTCACCCAACTTTGGCGCATCGAGCTCGAGCAGACATAAAGAGATCAACAACATCTACACAGCGCTAACACTACTTTGGACGTTCTACAGGCAAGGTAGCCGAGGAGAGAGGTGTGCGCAAGACCCCCCACCAACAAGTCATGTCCAAGTTCGACCGTCGCAACCGCAACAAGCAGCTTCAGCTGCAAAAACACAAGGAACATCTCCAGGAGACTTCCATCTTCGCCGGCAAGGATGGCGCCCCCAGAAATGTGGCCGTTATCCCCCTGTGCAGCGACGGTGACGCCACCGAAGCCATCAAGAGCCTGAACTCCAGCATCGATATCGAGACCGAGGTGCCCGAGGGCGCATTCCGCGTTCCCGTCGACAGATTCAAGCAGAAGCTCCAATACTTTCCCCTCAAGCGCGACCTTACCGCCTGCCTGGACGCCGCCAGAGTCGCCGACTATGTCGTTCTCGTTTTGTCCGCCCAGGAAGAGGTTGATGAACTTGGCGAGCTGATCCTGCGCAGCGTCGAAAGCCAGGGTCTCTCTACCCTCTTCACCGTTGTCCAGGGCCTCAACAAGATCGAGCCTCAAAAGCAGAGACTCTCCGTTCTTTCGTCTCTCAAGTCCTACATCACCCACTTCCACCCCGAACAGGATAAGGTTTTCAGCCTCGACAACAGACAGGAATGCTCCAACCTCATGCGCTCGCTATGCAGCACTACACCCAAGGGCATTCGCTGGAGAGACGAGAGGAGTTGGATGCTTGTGGAGGAGGTCAAGTTTGGTGAGTCTACCGTGCTTACCGGTGTCGTCAGGGGCAAGGGCTTGAAGGCCGACCGCCTGGTGCAGGTTGGCGATTGGGGCACCTTCCAGGTTGAGAAGATCACAGCAGCTCCCTTGGCCAGGAGGAAACGTGGAGAGGAGGGCATGAACGTGGAGGAGGGCACTGAGGAGATTCTCGACCAGCCTACCGACGACCGCGATGATCTTGTCGACCTTGCGCCCGAGGAGGTTCGCATGGAGGACGACGACGATGACGAAATGAACGACGGAATGACCACAATGACGACTTCAAAGAAGGGTGTTTTGTTGGACGACCACCACTACTTCTCAGAGGAGGAGCCTGAGGCTTATACTGCGCCAAAGAAGCTTCCCAAGGGTACATCAAAGTACCAGGCTGCGTGGTACCTAGACGACGATGTGTCTGATTCCGGCTCAGATATGGAAGAGGACGACGAGATGGAGGACGACGACGAGGAGGAGGCCGCCAGGCCAGAGGATGGCGAGGAGGGTCTTGCTGGTTACGCGCCAACAGAAGCCGGACAAACCGAGTACCCACAAACCGAGGGCGGCTTCATCCAACCTGATGCTGATGAGGATGCCAAGCAACTGGAGGCTTTCCGCAAGCAAAAGCGGGATGAGGCTCAGGATGACCTCGAGTTCCCTGATGAGATCGAGCTCCACCCCCACGTTCTTGCTCGTGAACGTCTAGCCAAGTACAGAGGTCTCAAGAGCTTGAGGTCAAGCCCTTGGCAGGAGGATGAGGACCGCGCATACCAGCCAGAGGATTGGGAGCGCTTGTTGAAGATCCAAGACTACCAGGCCTCTAAGATCAGGGCGTCTAGGGAAGCCCTTGTCGGAGGTGTTGCTCCTGGTACCCGCGTCCACGTTTACCTCAAGGACGTGCCCGCGACCATCCAGCAATCCTACAACCCCAGCCAGCCCGTCACTCTGTTCTCCCTGCTCAGGCACGAGTACAAGAAGACTGCTGTCAACTTCCTCATCAACCTGAGCGCGGACGCTGCCGCACCCATCAAAGCCAAGGAGGAGTTGATCATACAGTGCGGTCCCCGCCGCTTCGTCATCAACCCGCTCTTCTCCCAGGGCGGCAACACTCCCAACGACGTCCACAAGTACTGCCGGTACCTGCACCCCGGCCAGTCGGCTGTCGCTACTTTTACGGGTCCTGTCACATGGGGTGCTGTACCCACCCTCTTCTTCAAGAGGCAAGTGCCGGGCTCCGTGCTTAACGAAGATGGCGAGCCCGTCTCCAACCTGCCGCTCAGCCTCGTCGCCACCGGCACTGCCCTGCCTCCCTCGACATCGCGCGTCGTCGCCAAGCGCGCCATCCTGACCGGTCACCCGTACCACATCCACAAGAAGATTGTCACCATCCGCTACATGTTCTTCAACAGGGAGGACGTTGAATGGTTCAAGGCTCTGCCTCTGTGGACCAGGCGTGGCAGGAGCGGTTTCATCAAGGAGGCGCTGGGTACCCACGGTTACTTCAAGGCTACCTTTGACGGGCGCATCAACCCTCAGGACTCTGTGGGCGTCAGCTTGTACAAGAGGGTGTGGCCCCGGAGTGCCAAGCAGCTGGATGCGCCTCTGCTGGATGCCGCGGCGCTCCAGCAGGAGGTTGATGAGGACGCTATGGATGCGGAATAGAGGAAGAATTTCATGTCTGTTTGGCTAATAGACTAGACGTGCGTGTCAAGGGTTAAGAACAGGGCTTAATGAACGGCGTTTGATGGGAACAAAAAGATGAGTGATATCTTGCGTTGGTTTAACTTTGGTCGGGTCATATATATTATTTAGGGAAATGCATTCATTCTTTTCTCACGCCTTGTTGGATAAGTTAACTGTACGTTGATTGTGTGTATATGCCTGTCGACATGTTGCTTCAGTTGGGTTATAAGTCTTGTGACAACCTAGTCTACACATAGGTTTGAGATCATTGAACCGCATGTCGTCTGTCATATATCAAATCCTTTCCTCTCCCATGTTCTCTATCTCATGTTAGTCATCAAGATAAAACCCCAAAGATGAACCTCGGGTAACAACACCGTGTTCACTTGATATCACTACACTACACAGGCGAGATAGTAGTAAGTAACAATGATGTCCACCTTTTGTCCGAGTACTCGATATCCATCCCAAACCGCCGTGACCCAAGCCCATTTCCTCCTCACTTCCCCCCTCCCGCTCAGCCACGATACGGTCACAGCATATCACATACCTACTACTCGATCTATCTGTCATTGGAGATAACGTTGGCAAAACCCCCCACAGACTGAAAAGAAAAAAAAAAAAGAGGAAAAGAGTAGACTAATCCACAAACGGCCAATACGTATGTTGGTTTTTGCGATGTGTCTTTCGGCCTAATAAATAGTAGGACAAGGCCGAAAAGGGGTGGTGCATGCACTGTACGCTGCGTAGAGATAGAGATAGAGACGTTTTTTTTTTGTTTTTTTTTATGATAGCTAGGTACGTACACAGCTGACGACGAAAAGGGAAGGAGGCTGAGGGGAATTGTCGTAAAGAGCAAAAGTCCCAACGGCAAGGTATGTGTGTTAAAAGTAGGTACCAGTGGGATGGATACTATACTACATACTGTACCTCGACACCACCACCCCCGGATTACATACATGCAGTATAGTATACGTGCTACCTTAACCATGTACATACCAACTGCCTGCCTATCTACTTGGTACGTACGTCTAGGTAAGATAAGGTAGTGTTAAGGTGTGTGTTATGTTGAGATGCTGGACATTCAACAATTTGATCTCATCTTCCTGGAAACCTCAGCTGGTTAGGTTTTTTTTTGCTGCTGCTGCGCCTTGCTATATCCAATCTCCCGAGGTGCCGTCAAGCCTCATATGAAGGCGAATTACATATGATACGTTTTGTGTGGCGCCACCTGATGTTATGCCCTGGTATAAGTTCGTTAATTGCCTCGCTTTTTTTCCGCCATAAAGGTACTTACAGGGCTTTCAAGTTTGAGGAGGACTCCAATCGAATCGAATGGAGTTGTAAAAGAGAGAGAGAGAGAGTATGAAAGTCATTGGGAATGTTATTAAGTGCTACCAGGTCTAGGGAGGTACCTACACTATTGTAGGTAGCTCTTCAAGGTTGTTGTTGGAAGAAGAAGAAGAGGGGGAAAAGGGGGCTGTGCAAAAGGAGAGCGGAGTAGTTTTCTTTTCAGTTCACTTCAGTTACTGTCCGTCCCAATTTTGAGGTACTTACCCGTAGTGTTGTTGTCTGGAGGAATCTCCTCATCGCGATCGGAGAGAGAAATCTCATCTGGGTACATTATACCTCTAGGCACTAACCTGTTTCTGTTGGTGTTGCCCAAATGACTACACTTTGTGTCTTGGATTATCATCATATGGCAACCGGGATGTCTTGTCTTAGTTGGGTTCTGGGGTTGTAGTACGTGTAGTCGTTGGAATTGTCTAGCCCCAGAGCAGAGCCCTCTGACTACGCCCAACAGTGAAGGCTGAGTGAAAATGTAAAAAAAATAGGGGGGTCTTTCGGGGGGCAATTATACAGCGGTGGGTTCAGTTATTGGGCTGGGATATGGACTATGGGGTTTTACAGGCTTTGATGGACTGAGAGGGAGTGGCTTTGTGGTCTTCTTCATCAATATTTGCCCGCTCATCCCATATCACATGAGAGAACAGCCCAAGGAAAGTCCGGGTCCATGGGGCTGGCTGGTAATGTGGAGATTGCACGTGTGCTGAATGATAGGAATCCAATTGCGAAGCCCAGTCTGAGCCTCAGGAGCCTCAACATTGGCATCCAATGTCCCACAATCATGTGTTCCGGGAGTTGGTTGTTGACGGGCGAAACCTGGAACCTCGTCACCAGCGTGCTGAGCATGGCGGCGGAGATGAGGTTGAGATTTAAGCTTGAATGATGATATGGAATGTTAGCAATATACAGGGGTTACCGCTGTTGAAGAGTACTGATCCTAAGTATCCACTAACAGCTGCAGATTGGGAGCCCTCCCTTCGCAGGCACTGCTGTGCAAACGGGGATATGCAGTGCACCGGCACGCTATCCCACATTCCCATCAGATCCCCTAGCAAATGCGCAGCAACCAGGTTAGTGCACCACAGCCAAGTATCAAGCTGTGACGAATACTGAGACGCACGGCACGCCGGGCAATCCGAACAAAAGACTCAGCAAGATGAGTGAAGATCCGGATGGGCGCCGAGTCCAGAGCAGGCACCGCTGAGGCTGTGCAAAACATGTCTGCAACTTCCCAGTGCAATCGTTGTAGGATAGGGCGTTTGAATAGGTCTGGGCCTCTCCGAACCATTTTCCCTTCCGGGGCGGAGGGAGGCGTCTCGCTGATGAGACTTTTCACAGCAAGTGGCGAGGAGGTTACGACCGGATGGGTGTCTACACTAGAATGTCTGGACGGCTCGGATCAAAGAAAAGACGAACAACTCGTTCTTGCGAGATGGACGCGCGCGAGGTTTAGCTTGGCACACTTCAGATCCAATGCTTGATGACCAAGACGAACAATTGGCGAACACATGTCACCCCCTCTGGAGAGACGTGCTCAGCCATCCAACCAGCATCCATCACCATCCAGTGAACCCCATCTTCCAGGGCGGCTTTGCTGGCCTTACCAGGTACCTCCCCCGTCCGAGCCCCCGCCGCCCCCCCCTGTACGGCGATTCCATCCTCCCCATCCCAGCGGGTGATCACCTACCTCTACTGTAAATTGTAATTCACACGGGCGGCATGCACGCCCGGGCGCCTCTTCCGTTTCACCGCAGAGGGCATTCAAACGTGCCTTGCATTCCTATGGTAGGTGGCTGCCCTACACGCACGCCGACTCCGCTGTGCTGCTGCTGTTATCGCCAACGATTCTTAAACTGCGTGCTTGCCTTCCATTCTGTTCCTCCAACAACCCGACCTTCCGTTTCCGATCAACAACCATCACCGCAAATATAAACACATCTCGGATACCCATCCAACTCTCTCCTGCCTTTTCTCCCCAACAACTCGATCTTTTATCCTACCATACTACACCACTATCTGTAACCCATCAGTGCGCCCAACACGAGCACTGAATAGCCAAGTCCCCCCGCCGCTATTACATCAACAGCTTCTAACCACCACAACACAATCACAACCATCACGATGGAGCCCCAACAACAACAACAGCAACAAGTGCCCAGCGAGCAGTCGCTCCAGCAGTCCCCCGATCTCCGCCCTGCTTCCCTCTCTCGATCCTCCACCGGCCGCTCCTCGAGGAAAGGCTCGTCTCTCAGCCTCGATCTCTCCAACCTGCCTCCTCTCAGCCAGCCCACGCCGCCTTCCAACACGCTCATCTTTACAAACATCAACTCGCTCGACGTCTTCTCCGCCGACAACCTCCAGACCATCCGCGACCTCATCAGCCAAACGGCACCCATCTTCGCCTGGTCGCCGCTCAAGTCTTTCCGCCGCATCATCGTCACCTTCTTTGACGAGCAAGCCGCTATTGCCGTCCGCTCCGTCTGGGACGGTGAGGCCATCCTCGGCGAGCGCTGCCGCGTCTACTTTGGCCAGCCCACCCCCATCGACGTATCCGCCGCCGATAAGCATTTGGCCCTGCCCGATGCCGGCAAGCTCTTCTTCATCAGCCCGCCCCCGAGCCCTCCCCACGACTGGGAGCAGCGCATGGAGGATGCTCCCAACACCATGGTGCACGCTGAGGATCTCGCCGAGGCCCTTGCCAAGCTGAGGCACCACAACAACCCCAACGGCATTGATGCCGATGTCAAGGTTCCCGTTTCCCCGGCTTCCGATGGCGGCAGCAGCAGGCCCGGTGCCGGTGGCGACTTCAAGGAGGGTGCGAGGAAGAACAGGAGTCGCAGCTCGACGCTCATCTTCCAGCCTGAGAAGAAGGCTCAGACTAGCAATGGCAAGGCTAACGGCCCGGCAGTCGACTTGCCTTGTGTCACCGTCGACGATATGACGGATGAGGCGGATGTCGATGGCGATATCGACATGAGCCCCGTGTCGGACTCGCCCAGGACGAGACCTATCTTTGCGCATACCGCGAGGCCGCCCGTCGAGTTGATGCACGATGCTTGAGCGAGCGAATCAGCGACTTCTTTCTTTTCTTTTCAAACTCTCTTTGAACGACTCTAATCATATCTTATCAACTTTTTGTCACGCAAGGAAAGGATCAGTCACATAATCGGATGTCAAGGTTGGCGGGCGTGGGCGTTTAGGTGTTAGTATCACCGGATATACTGGACGAGCAACATATTCTTCACCATTACCAGCATTCGCACAAAGTGGATGGGGTCAGAGGAAAGCAAGTCACGGGCATCATCAAAGCATGTTTGCATATTTGTAAAGGGTAAACAAAAATTGGGTTTGCAAGATTTCATCCGGTCTCTAGTCTGGAGCATAGGTCTCATGGACCGAGAGCATTTGATAGTAGACAAATACAGTCAAACTAGTGCATATCAACTCTAGCATGTAAATATCTATGCTGTTCTATAGTGACATGACAGGTGTGATTGGCGGACAATCGACTGTGGCTCTAGCTATCTCTTCCACCTTTCGCTGGTACACGTGCATATTATTCCGCGAGTTCATCACCATTCCCCCAATATTATGATCATAGACCTGAGTCTTGACAACGTCTTTGATTCCCAATGATTTGCAAAGCCCAGCAATACGCCAATCCAAAAGGGCCCCATCCTACCTCTAAACCATCATCAACGAAATAACGGCACCATCCCTAAAAACAACCCCCTAACTCCAACACAGACAAGGCACCCCAGAACTGTACTCGCAACCAAAAACGCCTTCAAACTCCTAAACTCAGAGCCATCATTCCTGCTAGCAATCCAATCCCTCCAACCTTTTTTTCCCCTTCCCTTCCCCTTACCCTTCCCACCTCCTCCCTCCTCCTTACCCCTCTCAGAACCCGTATACTTTCCCCATTCAGGCACCCACTCAAACCCAAAGTCCGCCTCCTTCCCACCTGCCATCTCAACAACCACCTTCCTCATCCACCTTCTCACCCTCTTATACCTTTCCTCCCCAGTAGCAACTTCAGTCCCCTCATTTTGGGGTCCACCACCCCATGACGGGACCCATTTCAAAAGAAGATAGTGCGCCTGTCTTGAATAGCAAAACACCATGAAAAACAAACACTGACTGATAACCAACATGGCATACCACACTCCCGGCTTTGGGATATGTAGGGCTTTGCACAGACTGGAGCCATTCAACCAGTACGCCTGCGCCCGCAGAAACGACTCGGAGCTGCGCAGGGGTGGCTGGTTCGCCAGGGAGGCGATGATGTTGTTGGCCAGCACGGCGGACGTCTCGCTGGGGTGGCTGAGTTCCGAAAGCATGATTGACTCCATCACCACCTTGGCCTCCTGGGCGCTTCCAAAGGGCGTGATCTTCTGTTGCCCACCGGAAGAAGAGGGTAAAGTGATGGTGTCGGGCACGCCAATAAGATAAGCGACGTACCGCCACAAGGCCAAGTAGTCGTTGATCTCTTGTGAGGTCAAAAAGATGCCTTGACGGGGTAGGCCCATCCAGATGAGGGCCGAGGAAAAGGAGGCAATGGTGGCGATGCTGTCTAGGTCATTGATTGGAATTCCCCATTTTTGCGTGTCCCAGTATCCTCTTTCTCCTCCTTTTCCTCCCTTCTCATCCCTATCCCTACCATTATCTCTATCATTTCGAACAGCCAAAGTCATGATCCTCCTCCTCACCATCCCATGCAAAAACCTCACTCGGACCGTACTTCTCCACCCCCTTCCCCCATCACTACCACTCTCATCACCCCCATCACTACCACTCTCGTCACCATCGTCATCACCACCAGCACCACCACCACCACCAGGCCTCATCGACCCCACCCCCTCAGTAACATCCAAAATATGCTGAAACGTCTCCAGCAATCTCCGTCTAGCCACTCGCGTCCCGAACCCCCCTGTTCTTGCTAGTGTCTCGACCACACGCGCTGAAGCCATCCCCCCCAAGAGAGAATGAAAAGTCAAGGAAGTAATGGCGGGCCCGGCATACCGGTAGAAGACCGCTTGACCGCGCGCGATGGACGGGTAGGAGACCCAGGCGGGAATGGTGGTTAGGTGTTTCCAGAGGGTGGAGAGGGAGGGAGAGGAGGGGTGGTAAGTTTGGAGGAGGTGGAGGAAGTCGTTGGGTTGGTGGTGGTGGTGGTTATGGTGGTGGAGGGGGCATTGATGGCTATTTTGGGAAGGGGAAGGGGAAGGGTCAGAAGAAGAAGAAGAGGAGGAGGAGGTAAGTCCGAGGGCGTCGAATTCGTCTAGACAGTCGTTGGTCAGTTTGTCGTAGGAAAGGGTGAGAGGGTGGAGGTCGGTGGAAGTGAGGTGGGAAGGGGTCCAGTCGAAGGTGTAGCCCCAGATGTTCTTGCGGTTGGGGTTGTTGTTGTTGGAGCACATGTTGAGGTAGGTGTCTGTTGTTGTAGGTTTCAATGGAATCATGGGTCACTTTCTGGACAAGACTTTAAAGTGTAAAGTCGAGATGTAAACAGTAAGCCGGAGTCGTGATCAGATGGGGTTCGAAGCTCTTTAAGCAGAGACTCAAGTTGTGACAATTTCGAGGAGACATTTTCCACTTGGAAGCTTGACTAGGCGAACTCGTCTGTCTTTGTTGACACTAAGAAACCTAACTAGGCAGAGAAAGCCGAGAAGACAAGAGGCAGAATTGTTGAACTTTGGCCTCGTTGGGATGAGATCAATATGATATCAAATACCAAGAACTGGTTGGGGTAACAGGTCGCTTTTCTCGGTGAGATCTTCACTGTTGATAGTCGGGATTGCGATGTCCACGTCGATGTAGGGTAGAAGAGCCGGAGTAGAATAAATTGCTTTGGTAACCACTTCGCCTGTCAACCGGTCACGGTAAGCTGTACTATGCAGATATTCACTTGACATGTTTCCCCGCTCCAAGTTATGGTTATATGCCGTGGAACCATGATGGTTGAGGGATTCATTGATGGCATCTTCCCCACATTTTGGTGATCTCAAGGGAAGACATCCCAGCATGGCCCGAGGCCAGATGCAGTCCAAGGTCCTCTTGTGTTATGGTGAGGAGTTAAAGCCATCAACATAAAATTGAAGAGTGTCAGCGGTCTTTAGTTGAGACGATCACGATATGTAGCTTCAAGCTTGAGGTTACACAACGTAATTGACGCAGAGAGGCGTTACTGATAAGACTTATACCAGATAAGGAAAACGGGGCTGGTGGGGCGCCAGTGCTAGGGAGACCGATGCGCGCTAACAAAATGCCCCATAAGGATGAGTTTCAGTGGGCAGGCAAGCAAGCAAGGCCTCTGGCGTCCGAGGACCCTGGGGAAATTTTTCGAAAACCGCCAACGTCGATATCTTATCATCGTTTCCTTGTCGCCATCATTTGGACAATTTCAGAACCGCAAGACTTGAAGCCATCGCGCTCACCTCAGGCTCTTCTCCCATCGAGCCGCCATCAATTTGACTACCCAAACAATCACTTTTAACTTTTCCTCAATATTACTGCCCGTCATATCACAATGAGTTGCTCTTGCAACACCGCCGCGCTGCGGATCTTTGTGCGAAACGTCGCCAACATCCAAGTACCCTCATCTCAACAAGTCACCCCAAGAGCGCTTCCTGGCTTCCACCGGCAAATTACTACATCTCTACCTTTCCATACACGATTTCTACACACAACGCGCGCTGCCCGAAGCGATTCCACAGAGCATGTCTCCGAGGAGACATCAACGGCCACAGAGAAACCGAAAGCCCCGAAACTGCTCTTCCGAAAAACCAATGCTCCTGCCAACCCGAACTGGATGGGAGAGCAGCCTCCAAGACGTCCAGACCACAAGCCTCGAGAGTTGAAAAAAGCCAGGCGAGACCATGGAGCGCACGCATCGCAAGAAGAAGGAGACCACAAAGAGCCTACAAAGAAGAAGAACAGGTGGAGAGACCTACCAGAAGAGGAGCGTCGAGAACTCTATGCCAAAATGGGCAAAGAAATGCCCGACGAGGCCGAGAGGCAAGCGCGGAAGCAAGAGCAACAGCAGCAAAAGCTGAGGGCGTCCCTCGAGGAGCCCAAAAAGCACAACCCGGCCCACCCCAGGCGAGAGAGCTGGCAACATCAGAAGAACGCTTTGAAAGAAAAGTTCCCTGAGGGTTGGAAGCCGCTCAAGAAGCTGTCGCCCGACGCGCTGGAGGGCATTCGGGCGCTGCATAAGCAGTTCCCTGAGGAGTACACGACCGAAGTGCTGTCCAACAAGTTCCAGGTGTCGCCCGAGGCGATCCGCAGGATCCTCAAGAGCAAGTGGCGGCCGGACCCGGAAGAGGAGATTGAGCGCCAGGAGAGGTGGTTCAAGCGTGGAAAGCAGATTTGGCAGAGGTATGCCGAGTTGGGCGTGAAGCCGCCCAAGAAGTGGCGGGAGCAAGGCATTAGACCGAATAAATACTGGAAGGAAGGGGAGGAGAAGACGTTCAAGGATCGCCAGATTGCGAATGTCAAGCTGCATCGGAGCTTGTTGTGAGAAGGGGAGTCCATTCCTCACTCTACTATCTACCTGCTCTTGGGCATGAAACGAGAGAATCTGGCTTTGGCGGCGTGGCAGCAAGCAATCAGATCACCGCTCAATACCCAAGTTACGACCGACTGTAATAATA